TATTTTCTTTTATGCCTAGGCGCTGTAAAACGGTACTACCCGGCACTAACAATGAAAATATTCGAGAAAAGCGCCATGGATTTTTTCCGTCAAGGAATTCCTGGTTTAAACCAGCGATTAAAACGGGAAAAAGTTGCAATTGAAAAAAATGCCGTTGAATAAATGACCATGAATGACTAGAGAATAAAGAAACCAAAGAATATTTGTTTAGATTTGTTAAAATATTTAATAAATTTTTTATAATTTTAAGTGAAACATTTTTATTTCATAAATTACATGATTACCACAGTGTCGGCTGGTGGATTTTGCATATGCCATATCTCAGTTATTATAATATAGACACCAAATTTATATGAATTTATAATGACCCTAAATTAACAATTTAAATAGAATTTGGCGAAAAAAATATAGTTTTTGCTCTGCCTACCTCTGCAGCCTAAAGATAATAAAAAATTAAATAGTGCAATTTAATTTACCAGTTTATTAACAAATTTCATATTACATAGTATTACATATTTTATCCCATATTATTTTTTTATTATTTTAGGAAAAGAAATAAAAATTTAAAATGGTATACAATCTGTAATATTTGGATTTTGATTTAAAATTTGTTGATAAACTATGGTAAATTATAAATTGCACTGGCCCTAATACAGATCTGTATTATTATCGATAATCCAAATTTAAGTATACTTAAATTTGTATTATCTTTATTAGGGCCAGGCTGCAGGGTAGGCGGAGCAAAAACAATTTTTTTTTCGCAAACTTATATTTGAATTCTGCTTGTGCAGAACTTGTTAAATTAGTGTCATTATAAACTCATATAAATTTGGTGTGGGTACCATGTCTAATAACTAAGTTATCGGTATACGCAAAATCCAGCAGCCGCCACTGTTATGTCAACGTAACATATGTAACACCACAACCGGAACGTTACATAAACGTTTTGATAATAACGTTAAATAGATGCTGCGCGGTACCACCTTATGTAACATCACAAGCGGAACGTTACATAAGCGTTTTAAAAATACCGTCACAATGTTATGCTGCAGAAGGCGGACATTAACTGTAACTGTGATGATGCCGTTACGTTTATGTTACCTTATTGGACAAGTTACAGTAACTCGTTAACAGTAATAAAACGTTTAAGCAACAGATCCTTGCCAAGTGGGACTGTCATAACATATATGTTCTGTGAAATGAACGAAGTCCACTACAACGAAAAAATTATTAAAAAAAGGTATGGGAAGCAAAATTAAAGGCATAAGTGCATATGAGAAAAAAAATGCATTAATTTTTAAAACCAGACTGTCAATCTTTCTAAAACTTTGTAAATGTCTCTGCCACAACCCAATATTTTCTGTTATAAATTATAAAATTTGTTAAAAATGTTCCAATTTTTCCTCACTAACTGTCATAAAATATCTGTCAACCATTTTAACAACAGCAGCCTTATTTGAATGGTTTTCATAAAAATTGGATGTGGAATATTTAGAATTTTAAAATTTAATTATTAACTAACTATTAACTAAATTATTTAATCTACGCCAGTGGGATAAGAACTTCTTATCCCACTCATTTTGAGTGAGATAAGAAGTTCATTAACGCACGCGTTTTTCTCTGCTTTTAACCAATCAAATAAAAAAGTCAAAATGTCAAAATAACCCTAAATTAAGTCTTAGACAAAAATAATTACCGTTTATTTTTTCATTTAGAGGCGTAGATAAAAATTTGTACAATATACGTGTGATAACGCTTTATTAACGTACTTTTGCGATTGCCCAACTCTTGCTACGCACTCGTTGGGCAAATTTCGCATGCGTACGTTAATAAAGCTCTTATCCCACTTATATCGTAAATAACTATTATCTACTCCTATATTGACGAGCTGTCACTTTATGGCGTTTTATTGACGGGCTGAAGTTAACAACAGTGGCTTTTCGACATTTTACGTCACGGGCTGAAGTTAGCTTTATTATAAATTGGGAAAAAGTGAGGATAAATTCGGGTGACAGTTGACAGATCGTCACCTGAGAATTATAGTGTTCTATCTACATTTTCTTTTTTTTATTCAGGTTAGTCTTGTTTTAAGTCTTAAAGATGATATTGATCTATCTATATATAATTGGGGTAGAAATTGTAAAGTTTAAGGCTTAAACTGTACAATTTCTACCCCAATTATATATAGATAGAACAATATGCATCTTTAATACTTAAAAACAAGACTAACCTGAATAAAAAAAAGAAAATGCAGATAGAACACTATAATTCTCAGGTGACGAGATGTCTAAATTTTAACAAATAAAATTGGCTTTAAATTCTGTTTTGTGTTCGTCGTAGATAAAGTATAGTACGCAATTCGTTTATAAACTTCTCTAGACACTCGTTTTTATTAAACACTCGCTCGCAAGCTTCGCTCGTGCTTAATTAAACTCGTAACTAAAATGTCGTTTATAAAACTTGATACATAATGTACTAATAATAATAATACCATTATAATTTTTATTTTGTTGGGCAGTGTATCTAATGTGATGCTGAGGAGTTGTAGAAATGGGATGGGAATAAAAAGGAGTTTGCGGCTAATGGTAAATAGAAAAAAGCTCACTCTCGATTCCAGAACGTAGCGGCAGCCAACCAATTATTTTTATTTTTCTGTGTCCGACAGCTCCTTATTTTGCTCCTTTTTTTCACCCAGCTCTGATTTGTTGGTGCGTTTGCCGAAAAATGATTTTCCATTAAAATATCCTCATAAATAAAGTACACAGTAAAATATGCTTTGGAAAATTTATCGAAGTTTTATAACAGTCGACGAATATATATATATATATAGTGCACTTACACAGGGGGAGGTTATTTTAATAACAATTAGGTGTACTTTTTGGGATATCCTATATGTACTAATTATTATTTAGCTTGTACAAGCAGCATTTAAAGTTAAAATAACTGCATGTTTACTCATAAGTCATTTTTACAGTAAACTAAAATGGCAAGATATACGTAAAAATAAGAAAAATTACCAAAGATGGGGAATGGTAATAATAATATTGTTCACGTCTGTTCTCTTTTTCCAAACCTTTAACATTTACATACATATATCTTCTTTGCTTTATTTCAAAATGGTGCTTAAAGTAGGTAATAATGAAACTTTATGGTGAATAAAGAAAGTAAAAAATTCATAAAAACGTATTTTATTAATTGCCAAGATTTTTTAATTTAATTACAGTATTTAAGGTTAATTTAACGACATATTTACTTAAATTAGGTAATAAATCCACAAATAGCTATTTTTAGAAATATTTATAATTTTTTAATAAAATAAGTATGTAGTACCTATATAATTTTCTTTTAATATTTATACAAATTACTCTAAATTAATTTTTAATAAATACCTGAAGGTACATCATTATCAAAAACAAATGAATACATAATGACTGTATTTTTTCGTGACCGATTTATAATTATAACTAATAAAAAATCTAATGCTAGAAAAATTCTCCATAGATATCTTAATTCAATTTTAAATTTTCTGACCTTAGCACAAAAATTTCACCTTGTTTTGCACATTACCTGAGTCAAGCGCCAATTTTAGCCATAAAAATATTTGTACAATTATAATTACAATGTTGATTAACCTCATCAATTACAAGTTTTAATGATAGTCCACAATTATTCACAAGTTTTGTGTTTGCTTTGTATCTAGACCAAAATGTCGAAATTATTTGTGATCTTGGTATTTTGTGATTTTGTGATTTTTGGAAATTTCGAAATAATTAGCGCAGTGAATAAAAAGGTAAAGTTATTTTTATAAAATTTATTAGTCAAAAATGACTAATTTAGTAGTTATTAGTTATTTTGACGCTATTTTCGGGTTCAGGGGACAATTTTACATAAGAATTGGTATTCCATGGTTAACCATGGTACAAGTGAAAAAGCAGCCACTAATAACTACATTAAATTATTTATTTTTGACTAATTAATTTTTAGAGAGTAAACACTTTAAATACAATATGTCCCCGGATTGAGTTAACAGGATTTTTTTTTGTTGTTTCTATAAAATAACATTGACTTCAAAAATTTGGGATTTTATCTACTAGGTGTTGAAAAAATTAAAAAAAGCACCTTTATTTTAAATTTTTTTGAAATAAAAAAATTTTGGTAAAATTTAGAATTTTTAGTACAGGGTGTTTAAAAGTCTGTAGTTAAAATCCCAAATTTTACTAAGGGGATGTTACTTTTTAACAATCAAAACGTTATAAAAAATAAAATGTCCCTGTGATGTATTTAAAATAAATTTAAATTATACTTTTATGTAAGCTGAAATGTCTTTTTTACCGTTTTATACATTTTATACGTTTTATATATATTTCTTTACTGCTATAGATAATATTTTACTATTTTCAATGCTTTACTATTTTTATATTTTAAACATTGACCATGTAAATTTTTAATGGTTAATAAAATTATTATTAAAATTATTATTAAAATTATTATTATTATTAAAAGAATTTAATTAATTATTTAATAAAAAACACAAAGAAAAATCATAACTTTTGTAGTAAATTTTTGTATTAAAACTTTGTTTTTAATTACAAACAACTTTTATATAAAATTTAAAAAAAATAAAATAAAGGGAGAAAGAATTCATGTTTTCCTAATTTTTCAACACCCTGTAGACAAAATCACAATTTTTTTTTCAATGTCAATGACGATCCAGAATGACATAGAATGACACAAAAATAATATTTGATTTCTCTTCTAAACTCAATCCTGTTTTTACAAAAATATTTTTTTTTAAACTTATTTTATTAATTTTTACAATAAACTAGGGTTACAACCATTTGTCAAATTCTCTGAGACTGTGCAGACATTTTTAAAAACCTTAATATTTATTTCTTTTTTGAAAAATCCTGTTTCTATCCATGGTCAATAGTAAGGTGAATCATTTTTTTATCTGTTTAAATTTAACCATAAGATCATTGCCACTAGCTTACAAAGAAGCGTACGCATCACACGGCGCTTTTTGTTCTTTACGTGCATGTACATTTTTTTTATTCGTGAAAATGCTTCGTTATGTGATGGTATTTTTACTTAGTGTTTATTGTGTCGAATCTTCGATAGATATCGAAGAAAATGTACTGGATGTAAGTAGTCTTTAGTTAAAGTTTAAAAAATTATATTTTGGCGCCCACCGTTCTTTATTTTAAATAGAGACATACATGGTGTCATGACAACATTTTTTTTATTTTTATTTGAACAATATACTAATTTTATATTATTATTATATCATAAAAACAGGCCAAGTTATTCAACTAAGGCTAGGATTTTTTAATTGCAATCTATTATAATATTTAACAAGGTTTTTCTTACTTTTGACATTGTAGCTTCCTTTTTTGCATTAATTTCCAAATATTCATTTAAATACTTACATAACATAACAAAACAGAGGAGTGCTCAAAATGTATATATAAATACAAATTTTACATTTTATAGTATTTCGGGAGTTGTTTGACGGTATTAATCCACTCTATTAAATTTTACTTTTTTAAATGATCCTACATAAAAAAGTCTACGGTAGTCAATTCTGGAGATCTGGCCGGCCAATCCAGACCTCTTCTTCGTCCAATCTAATATCCAGGAAACTGTATAGTACAATAATAAGGTTAGATTTCTTGTTTAACACCAAAGAAAATCCTTTTTTTCTTCTTTAACATTAACAGCCGCTTATTGTAAATAAGTAAATTAAGGACGGCATGGCGAATCGATTTTGACATTAACTGTTAAACCAATGACTGTGATACCAACTATCTAAAGAAAAATTCGACCAAATTAAATTTAGGGTATAAAATTATTTTTTTATAGAATTTTTGCCTTTTGTCGCACTTGTCCATTACAAAATTGTCCGTGTGCGACAAAATGACGTCTTATGACATTAGTTCTTTAATATCCTATTGTAAAATTGTACATAAAACAAATTTAGCAAATAAACTAAGGAATATAATTTTATTGGTAAATTTAACCAGGGCGTGCCAGGAAAAAAATGCTTAGGTTAAAGACTACAATGGTTTATAGTTCGAGGTTTTTTATATTATAAAAAAACAACCCAGAAAAAACTTGTTTTAATTGATTTGTTGACAACACCTATAAGTGCAATAATTAGTCTAATTATTTGTGTATATGCTATAGCAGACACAATATATTATAAAAACATTTAATTCGATTACATAATATAATATTTTCTATTAAGTACTTTAAATATAGCAATAAGTCGAATAAAATGTTTATATTCCAAGGTCACGAAAAAATGTACCTATTAGGAATTTTAAAGAATCAGGAAATATTTATTTATGTATCATGTATATGTAAAACATACTTTTAGAATATTCTGCAAGTTAAGACTGAGAATGGGGTACTTCAAGGCAAAATGAACTATGGAAAAAATAACGAAAGTACATTTTATTCTTACCAGGGAATACCTTTTGGCAAACCACCCATAGACGACCTAAGATTTAGGGTAAGACATCGGTTTAAAAAAATCACAATAGGTGCTTGAGGAGCCAATTAACATTTTATCTGACATCAGAGATCTGTCAGACGATTCAAGCCTCACCTTTTAACCGATTTGTGTATACTAATATGGTCTTCATAACATTCTCATATTTCAGGCCCCCAAACCCTATGGAAATTGGTCCGGCATACTCGATGCCACCAAGGAACAATCAGGTTGCGTTGAAGTGCTCATTAGAAACTATACCAAAGTCCAGGGGATGGAAGATTGCTTATTTCTTAATATATTTACACCTGAAGTAAGGTCAGTTTAAAAACAAACCCGCATTTCATACGAATAATTTGTAGAACCCAAATAAAGTCAAAACATTGCTGCCGGTGTTCTTCTGGATATACGGTGGGGCTTACTTGGAGGGTAACACCCATTTTGATCGTTGGGGACCGGATATTTTGCTAAAGGAAGATATTATAGTGGTGACATCGAACTATAGGATAGGTATATTTGGGTTTCTTAGCACAAATAACATGGATTCGCCTGGTAACTATGGTTTGAAGGATCAAAACCTAGCGCTACAATGGGTTAACAATAATATAAAGTACTTTGGAGGTGATCCTAATAACATAACACTAGCAGGGCAGAGTGCAGGCTCTGCCTCCGTTTTATACCACGTACAATCAAAGCTAAGTAGAGGTTTATTTCATAAGGCTATAGCACAGAGTGGTAGTTCGTTATGTTCATGGTCATTACAGATAGATCCTTTGGAGATTACTTATCAGATAGCGTATGCTTTAGGAATGAACACTAAGAATACAACAGAAATAGTGGCAAGATTGAGGAAAGCTACAGTTGATGAAATTACTGGTGCCCAACAAATGACAACTATATTGGTAAGTGTCCAAAAGTGTTTTTTAAAGTGCTTGAATTTATGTTTTAGAATTTCATAGAGTTCAGAAAAATTGGTCTAGCATATAGCCCAACTTTGGAACCAAATCATCCAAATGCCTTTTTAACTAAATATAGTTATGAAGCTTTGAGATCTGGTGATTTTAATCGAGTTCCTGTTGTATTGGGCACTACATCACAGGAGAGTCTTCTTTTTAAACAATGTATATAAGTATTTTACTATAAAAAAACTTGTTTAAACCTTTTCTTTTATAGTTATGATTTTACTACGACCAGCCGTGAGTTTATTATACGATTCAAGTCCTGGTATGATGGCAATGCCTAATCTTAACACCAACTCCTTGGCCAAAAATAGACAATTTGGTCTTGAAGTTATGAGAAGGTACTTCAAGCAAGGGCAATTATCACAAAGTACTTTCGACCAATACGCAAACGTAATATTTACAAAAACATCAAAACCACAATCTAACCTACTTTTGCAGTTTGTAACAGACGATGCATTTCTTAGACCCATCCGCAAAACCATGCAACTATTATCAAAATTTGTTCCTGTATATTTCTATGTTTTCACATACGAAGGGAAGTACATTGCTGAAGGGTTGGAAGGTTTTAAAACCAGAGGTGCATTAGATAAAGGTGTTTCTCATTCAGAAGATTTGTGGTATATGTGGTCCCACAAAAACCTACCAGAGAAGAAGGGTGATGATTTAGTGATGAGCAAACGTTTGACAAGAATGTGGGGAAATTTTGTCAAATACAGGTAAACAAGTTTATTTACACTACTTAGACTGTATTAAACGTTTTTTTGTAGTAATCCTACCCCATTTGAAGAACCTTTGTTAAATAATACAATATGGCCGCTGGCGCAGCCAAATAACCTTGTACAACTAAACATAAACTTAGATTTAACTATTGAGAGTGACTATAGAAATGATTACGTACGATTCTGGGAATATTTGTACAGGAAGTATGGAAAAAGGCCGTTTAAAACCTACTAGGATTAAAATTATTGTAGCATAAGTGAATAAAACCAAAGAAACTAAACGTATTTATTAACTCAATAACTCAATATTTCCTGGAGTCGTATTTTGGAGTGTACTCTGGAGGTCTGTAGAAGTTATCCGACAAACTACCAACAAAAGGTTGCGTTAAAGGGTACGGCTGATACCTGCCATCACTTTGAAACTGCTGGCTGGGCGGGACGTTTTGGGGCCTCCACGGTGTTTCTAGGAAGTTATTGGTCGACCACGGGGTCGTCGAAGGTCTTGGGGGCCCGGTTTTTACATCGCGGTGGCGTCTCTGGTTGTCCTGAAAGTTGTATTGAGGTGGTGGTGAACGTTTACCTTTTTTGTCGTCGTAGTAGTGTCGCGATGGGTCGGCGGTTCGTTTACGGTTGTCGGTGAGTTTTGGAGGAGGCGGTGGGGATCTCTCGGACCATTTTTTCTTTTTCGGCGATACGCTTCTCGATTTGTGGGTGTGCCTCATTTCGGCCTCCTTGATTTTCATCTTTAAACTCTCGCGCAACTTTCTTACGTCGTCCAGTTCTTTGTTGATCATGACGCGATCTTCGACGCACTTTTTGAGTTCCATGGAAGTTTTACGTTCCAGATCCTCCTTGTCCTTGTTGTGGCGCCTTCTTTCATCGCGCAGCTGATTCTGAAGGTCCTTCAGACTAATTTCGAGTCGGTGAATTTTGCCTTGCGCACCCACATAGCGCCTATCGTTGTCCAGTAATCTTCTTCGTAGACGATCGACTTCGTTCTTGGTGCGCTGATACTCGTATCTCCAGTCCACATCGATTTTTTTGGTTTCTTTTTTCGTAGGGTCTTTTTTAACTTTGGACTTGTCCGATTTTTTATCTTCATCATTTGAAGTTGCATTGACGGTTTTAGATGTATCAGGGCGATCCATTGATACTATGATCTTCTTTCCTTCGAAGATGGTATCATTTAAGGCTTCGATACACTTCAAGGCGACCTCATGGTTCTCCATCGCGACATATCCAAAGAACGACTTCCCATTGGTGACGATTTTGGCCGTGTTAACTTTACCATGGCGACTTACCAGCTTTTTTAAAGACGTAGCCTTAGTATGGCGACTAATATTCGACACCCAAACGTAGTTGATATGGGTTTTTGCTTTTGCCGCCTTAACATCCTGATTTTCTTCACTTTGTGGTGGATTTTCTGCAGCAACTTTGGCCTTGTCTTCAGGTATTATATCCAAATCTTCTTCATGGGTTATTATTAAAGAGTCTTCTTTGGTTTCAGACGACGTAGCATCTTTTTTTTCTGTTGAATCTTCAGAAATAACCGTCAATGCTTTATCGTCGACTACTGCATTTTCTTCCTGCGCAGTCTCTTCAGTTTTCTCAATACTATCCACGACGGAATAATTGTTTTCTTCAAACAATGATTTTTCAGGATTTTCCGGAATTTCACCGCTCATTTTTACTATATATTTTCGCCTATTAGAAGACATACTTTAGATTTATCGAACAAATAAATATATTGGTATTGGAACTCTAAATCGAATTTCTTCCCTATTTTATTCATATTCGAGGCGCAGTAGTTTTACTGAACAAACAAAGGTTTTTAATTATATATCGGTGAGAACTTTTTCGAGTTGCTAATATAAAAAATGTAAATTACTGCTGATTATAATTCAAGGGATGTAACGTCCAGCAGGCTCTTATTTGCATAGTGGGGGGCTTTTCAGGGGGGGCATACTCCCCTTTAAAGATCGATTTGTTGCGGACATTCCAAACAGTGTTCTTTAAATAATTGTTGTTGATTTTAATGCCCGGCCTTGGTGGTATTTGTTGTTAATTTTATTGATATTTGTTGTCTGTCTATTCATTGGTGAATTATGGTTTATTTTTCAATGCGTGAACTTCAATACCTGAGTATTCAGATACAATGTCTGATAACAATTATTGGAAACTTGTTTTTGTAATTTATAAAATAAATAAAAAAACGCAATTTTATGATGTATGGTTCTATGTGCGTATTCGATCCCAATTTTGTTTTTGTTGCGTTAATGGTTTTTAAATGGATCTTTATTTAATAAAGAAACAAGTTTTTTATTGTTACAATTGTGATATAATAAAATACCTATTATTTCGTTAAAATATAATTTTATGAGATAATTTTTGAAGGAAAAATGTAAAAATCAAATAAATACACACAAGTTTGTTAATTAATAAAAAACTGTCAAAAATCACAACAAATTTTGAAAATTAATAAAAAATCTTGCAAGCAGTTTTTAAGTATTTAATTGACAAAAAACTCCACATTAAATAGCAGTTAAGGAAATAACTTAAAAACCTAACTAAAAAAGTCGATTTAAAACTAAAAGCATGTCATTTTTGACAAGTTAATAATTTTATTTGTTGTATTCTTTCAAACATGGTAGGATATCCTAAAAGATATCCTAAAAAAATAAACAATGAAATTATTAAGTGTTTAATTTAATATCAATATTTTAATAATTATAATTAAACCGGTGAGATTAAGAACAGTACAAGTCAAAAAGTTAAAATTTTGACAAAATATTTCAAAAAATCAGTTTTATGAGAATATTTCAACTATTTTATAAAATATAATATTTATCCTATAAAATGATTTATATCTTCTCGCAAACTTTAAAATTGATTCTTATTCTCAACGATTCAATTATAGATTATAATCTATCATTTAAATATAAAGAACATTAACACTATTAACATAAATATAAAAAATCATGGTCAAGGTCACAATTTATAATCCAAAAACATGTTTAATTTAAATTAAAAAAATACAATACTTAATCAAAAACTATTTGACATCTAGACTTATATTTATAATCTGCCAACCCTAATTTAAATTTATCAACGTCTAATTTAAATGTTTTTAATGCAATATATTGCGTTTGACATATTCCAACCCCAAAATCTTAAAAATAACAACATGGTAGGTATTTAATTTTTAAGCAAATTTCCTTTAGAATGTATTACCTTGAAGCGGCCGTAAAACTCAGTTGGCCGGTGAAATTTTACTTTAAAGCACAGCCGCCCCTTCAAAACGCAAACCGCTCGAATTTTACGCACTTTATCAATAAATTTCCCAATTTAAACAAACCGGGAAACAAGATATCTCCACATTACCATGTACCGCTTTAAATTTATCCCTTTTAAACAAAAAAAAACCGACGGACATTAATATTCATTCGCAAGCGAAACTCTGAAACTTTTAATTGATATTTGTTTCATTTTCCACCAGTTTACCCAATTAGGACCGTAACGTTCCGGGAAAATTATTATTTGAGGTTATGTTCGTCGATACAATAGAGTTTTACGTTTTGTTTCGCCGAATGCGAAGCTTTAATTAACACAACATGGATTTTTATCGATAAAAAAAGAGTTATACTCACTTTTTATGCGGTTTTATTGCGTTTTTTTCACGTATTTTGCACTTATAATCTCTGTAAACAACACTGAAAAATGACGTTTCCAAAATGATGGCGATTTGTTTACAGCGTTGCCTATATTTCTTGGAATAAAAACATGAATTTGTTACAAGATATCCTTTTTAAATAATAATAATCACGAACATCTATAATTATAATCATTTAAAATTAATATAAATCAATCGAAATCAATTAAAATCGTTTATTATACAAGTTTTCGAATCGCCCTCTATAAAAGATTTGTTTATCTAACGTTGGCACCATAGAAAAAGAATTTGATTTTGACAGTTACTTTTATAAGCCTACTAAAAAGTAACAACATTTTTACGTTTTAAGGACATAAAAACGTTAATAAATTGCGGTGCTTGATGCGTTTACCGGAACATTAAAGTTTTAAGCGTATAAAGCTTATTTATTAGTGTAGTAGTGTTTTTAATGTCCTCGGGATTTAAATCAATAAAAATAGCAGTTTAAAATGTAAGTACAATAAAAGTGCATGCAAATTTAGTGGAATTTTATTAGGGCAATGATATTTTCCGCGATTTTATTGCTTTTTACGGCGTTTCCTGACACGGAAAAGATTTTATTTTAATTGCAATGAAAACTCCAAGGTGTCGTTTTATAAATTTATTAGAGTTTGCGACTGTAATATCATTATTTTTTGTTTGATATCCAAGTTTTATATGATCTGTGAATAGAATCTCTTGTATTGAATGTTTATTTGTATATTAATTAACTGACATATGAGGTTTGTTTATTTTGACAGTGTTGACAACAAAATAACGCCAAAATACCTGTATTTTAGTCGTTTTAGAATCAAAAATAAAATATTTTTACCTACAAATTAGTTTGGTTTGTTAAATTCAAGGCCGATAATGTCAAATTGAATAAATTTGGCTCTATATTTTATTAATTCATGGTTCAGTCAACACGAGATTACTTACTACACGAAATCGATTTGCCAAATTGAAATAGGTATTCAATTTCGTAAATGGTTTAAAAAATGTGGATATAAATTAAATAATATCAATTTCCTGTGAAATTTTTAGCGCAATTTGTTTGCCGAATTTTATGATTTAATCATTCGATTTGACGTTAAAATGTGTTTGAATTTTGAAATATGCAGAGTACACACTTTTTTGCTTTATTCAGCTAAATTAACGTTTTTTTGTTGGAAAATGTGTTTTAATTAAGTACCTACCTAAATAAAATTTCTTAATAATTATGAAGACTAATTTGTATTAAGAGGGCTTTAAATTTTAATTAGGTATCTGTTTAATTATTTCTTTATCTCCCTTTTTGGGTTTGCGATTTATCTCTTTTAAACTCTTTTTCATTTTGTTTAATCTTGGATTAAATTTAATCCCCATTTTGCCATTTCATTTTGCTTGACAAAAGCAAACAAAACCCACTTATGTTTTGTGTGTTGTAAACACTACCAAAAAGGTAAGTAAATAGATAAATTAAAGCAAATTGTTATATTTTATTGTGGGTTTTACAACATATTGTTGTCAGTGATTAGTTTAAAAAATTTTTGGACAAAATAGTAACTTTGCTTTACTTTTTACAACTCTTGAAATAAGTTTCTTTGTCATTAATTACCAATATAATAAAACTAAAATGTAATAAAAAGCGCACTATGGACTTTTTAAGACAAATTGATAAAGATTAAGACCCAATTTGCCGTAATAAAGTGTCTAGAGTAAAAAAACGAATTCCAAGTTTTAATTAAGTCTTCCTAAAATAAATCTTAGTCCTTTTAACAACCAGTAATTTATATTCTTTTTGTTTTTTTATTCTCAGATTAGCTCTCTTATATAAGTAATTTAAACACCTTACGACGATTTTTATTAAAATTACTTTTTTTCACCCTTTCGCAATTTTATTTGTCATTGGAAATCAATAGAAAGCTTTTAGCGAAATACAATCCATAAAATCATATAAAGGGCCTATCAAGGAAAGGACCTTGACACTACCAAAGCACCATTGCTGGTTAAATTGGTTTCAGGATAACTGAGTTAACACTTTAATATAAAAAGGATCTTTTTTTGCTATTTAGTAATACAGCCCCAAGTAACAATTGTAAGATATTTGGATTTATTTTAGGAACTTAAACAAAAAAATTATTGTCAGTGGAAAATGTTTTGATTGCCTGAAATCATTTTTTAACGAAATAATTTTAAAAATTAAAAAAATAATCTGTAACCTTTGAAATTAACAAATTAACAAATTAAGATAATTGGAAAATCTTATACCACTATCAAATTATTATTTCAAAAGACAACAAACCCTAAATTTGTTTGTGTTTACCATTTCCAGCGTGCTGTTAATAAATAGTTAATAGAACAAGAACCGCAAATTTCAGTACAATTTACATTAACTCTGACTTGTGTCGTACACGACAAACTTGCAAGTTTCAACTTAACCAACCCATTCAATTAATTCCCGACAGGATTTCTAAGCCTTATTGTTTCACCTAATCATAAATTAATTACTATGGGTCAATATACTAAGGTACGCCACTGAAATTACTTTTAGATAGCATATAGTTTAAAATCGTCCCATTTAATAAATCCAACGAATCAAAAATCGAAAACTATTAAATTATCGTTAAAACTCTATAAAAACATTTTTTACTTGTCACCGCACCTTTAAAGCTGTCTTGGGCGTTTTGGCGCTTTGGTCTGCGGTGTACCGCTTTAATTAAGGGTTGCCAACAAAAGCGATGTAATTACGTAAGTTTACCTTGCCACAAGCTGAAAACAATAACTCCAGGAGTTGCCTAGCTAAAGCCATGGCAACTGTTTTGGAACGGTAAGAATGGGGCAGCTCATATCTGCAAGTCTTTGCCCTCGGGCTGCTTGATGTTGTAGTTGGGTAATTTGTTGTTTAGTGTTTGCCGAAGAAAACTTCACAACACAACAAAATCAAAGTTTTTTCCTGTTGCATGAAGTATTTAAGCGGTTGTTTACTAATTCAAGGTCACTGATTTCAAATCGACCGTCAGTTTTTTTGTAGCAGCTCGAGTTTTTCAGGTACAGCTACTGCCTTTATATTAAGTCTGTTTACATAAACTATCTATTACATACGAGTTTTACATAAATATTTGTAATTTCCATCATGTCTTTATCAAGAAGGCTCTGCATTAACGATCCAAATTGTTTTTGTAACATTTGTGGTGAATATGTTTTTAAAAAATTTCGTTTGAGTGTGTCAGACTTTGTGAAACAAGCGTATTTGGAATGTTTTGGTTTTCCATTGGAAACACATAACAAGTACTGCTTCATCATTCATAAACAGTAGAAAATCATATAAAAGAAAATTCCAGAGTGTATAGTTTTTTTATAATTAAATATTTTTGTACGGTAAATGCATCTTTTTCTCGAAAAACACCCTTCCTTATAATTTAAAAACTAGAGCTGATACAGAAAAACTAATAACATATTTAAAATCAGCGTCAAAAATTTGCACAGAATCATATAAAATATTCCATGCAACAGACATGCTGTTGGGCGGTGCTTTCTTTAAGCCAAAAAAAACTTTAATAATACCTATTGGTTTGTTTGTTTAAGACGTCTTATTCAAATGCACTTAAAACCATGTCAAATATATTTTAGGATATTAAAAACAATTTTACTAAAATATTTTAAAATAAAGAATTCCATACAAAAATGTTAAAAAAATAAGTTACAATAATGGCGAAGGTGCCGGGATTAATCCATATAAAATATTAGTAAAATATCACACAAAAAACCTTTAAAACACTCAGTAAAGAATATCCTTTAAATCTTTTTTCAAGATTTATCACATTAAGGATATAACATAAGTTCCTTTTGTAGAACCCAATTACGATTTCCTTTTTATCCCGGCGTCTTTTGTAGTATTAGCAAACCGAGACTTAACAAAATTACATGGACAGAAGAAAAAAAACGACGAAAATAGAGTCCTTTTTTGCGCCCAAAATCCATCGATTTTAATGAAACATTAAGATAAATCAAAAGGTCTGCGACACCGGCTCGCCAATCAGCGCAAATGTTTCCCGTGGGCGTTACTTAATTTCCAACGCTAACTTTGATTAATAACTAAACACAAATACTATGTACTATGTACAACATATGCAGGAAAGTTCCAATGATATCATTATATAATTTGAGTATGTTTTACAGGCAAATATTTGCGCCAAGTTTTAATCATTTATCTCCACAGGTTTTTAATTTATTACGGTTAAAAGATTTCCTCATAAAAGCATCACATTTCCCTTGATTTATGGATTTTATGTCAGCAAATTTCGCTAGACAAACATCTACATTATGAATTTAAGTATAATCTTTTCTTCAATTTAGAAAATCGAGTACCTAGTCGGGGTAATTGAAGTTTAAAATTGAATTTCGAAACTTTGTAACGAATAAAAAAAAAGTTAATCGGGAGCTTAACATTTAAGGTTAAGAAGCATTTTGATTGGTAAACCTGACATTGGAAAACGTATAAAAATCTTTACGACTTCGCAACATTGAAGTCAACTTCATTAAGGCAATAACAAAGAGATTTGGAATGGTGATTTTTGGTATATTTTTAGATGCTTTTATACAGGGTGGTCCATTGCAAGGTTTACGGCTTTGTATGTGAAAATTAAAAAAAAATCTTTGGACATTTCATCACAAATTTTGACAATTGTTTGCAAGTGATGCCAGAATTGAATATCCTTTAAAAATTGTTTAATTTTAAATTAAATTATCACCAGTGAAGAAAAAGTCGAATATAAAGGGCCACCCTGTATATTTCTAAAGTTTGTAGTTTTTGTTAAAAAGTTTCATAATCTGACAGAGTACATTTAAAGATGTAGGTACCCTAAAAACCTAATATGCTTTTTAAAGAAACATAACAAAAACAATAAAAGGGAAAACTTTTTTCATAAAACCCCTTTATGAGTTGAATTGAATAAGCGGGCTTATTTTTTTGCGTTTTGGGGTGCGTCAAAAAGCATAACTTTACAGCGTCTCGCCGAGAGAAAAATATATTATCACCGCAACCCGAAGATTTACTGCATTTAACTTTTAAATGCCTAGGAGTCGCTCTAAGATATATTATTTCATATTTCAACGTCGCTAAGGGTGGAAATTGAGATTTATCGGGGGCAAACGTAGTCAAAACGTTCAACAAACACTAGAAGGTATTGCTTAATTATTTTGGTCAATATTGGCTTAGGAGCTAAACAAACTCACAAATTACAAATTAGTCTATGTTCTAAGGCTTATATTAAAAATGTATTTTTCCTCTAAAGATCTGTTAGGTAAATCTTAATTGAATATAAATATTTTCTTACATCCTGTGAATTCAGGGTTTAAATAAATATATATTGAAACTTCTCATATATTTCAGTTTCACGCTCGCCTAAAGCACTTTTCAGCTATCTGCTGAAATATCTTTGGGCTATGGAATTTAGACGAGGTGTTCATACATTGAAATTACTCCAATTTTAAGTGTTAATCCTGGTTTATTTAATTGTTAAAGTTTCTCTCTAAGCTTAATTAAGGGATTAGCTCGCCATTTTCGCTGTGAGTATATATATATAGGTATATATATATATATAAAAAAACTTAAAATCGATACCGTGTTTCAGACAAAGTATACAAATTTCGTTTTATATGTTTAGCTCGGTAATAAACGTGATTCATGACACATTTTGGTCGCAACCAGGTTTTTTATTGCAATTGTTATGTCCCGCTTCCTTTGATTAAATTAATGTTTGCCTATCTATTGTTTTATTGTATGTCATAAACAACTGAAAATTACCAAATTTAGAGTGTCAACTATATTATTTGGTTTGGTTTTACTGATAAACGATATTTTCCATCGCAATTTATTAATGCTTTGTTCGATCTTTTGGCCCTCGTCAGTGCCGGGTAGTCGTACTTAAAACTACTAAACATACCAAAACAGGGATATAAATAATTTTATTTAAGAATTCGAATCAGGAGTCCAACATACAACCGACGTTAGTATTTCTTTATGTTTCATCAAATCCTCATCATCATTGCAGTAAATTTTCGCTATTTCTTCAGAGTAAAATTTTTGGATTAATTTTCGTGTCTTCGGGTATTCCGATATGTTCGTTAGAGTCTTAATAGCATACAATTGAGTGGCTTTATTATTTTGCACATTGGCTAGGTCTATAAGCCTTTTCGTCATGCCTTCAATCTCTGATATCACTATTTTACTCTTAACTTTGACCGTGCAGTTCATTAAGACGCCCATTGCTGCTGTATGGACTTGTGGTCTCTCATCGAAAGTGAGCTCGGCTAATTTTCGAAGTAAATTTGATTTGTAGGCCATATTTTTGCCAACTTTAGTGACGGTGAGAACCATAAGGCATTCCAAAGAGTTTGAAAGTACGTCTGTATCTTTTCTGTACAGTAATTCGACCAAAACGTTAAAAGCGTTGTTATAGAAAGCTATGCATCTGCCTGTGCAGTAAGAGAGATTCCTCAAGGTTCTTAACAGGACCACCACCTTATCTTCATCTTCACTTATAAGTCTTCCAGTTATGAGGGTTATAAACTCTTGGTCTACGAGACGGTCAGCCGATGGCCAGTACTCCGATATTCTCTCCAATAGCATAGCCACTCCCATTCTTATTTTGTCATCTTCACTATTCATGATTAACTCAATTTTTTTCATGTACAACTTGCTTTTGGTGATGCGCAACTTAACTTTTCTGTACTGTGCTAGCACGATTAGTAACTTCACTACTTTCCTTGATATATCCGCGATGTTGCAATACAATAGTGCAACTAGATCCAGTAGAATACCATCTGTTACGGCATGTGACGCGTATTCCGGGTTGTGCATCAGTTGTATTGCTGTGTTCAAAGCTGCATTAACCAAGTCGCTACTCTCATTATTGAGCTCCCTGAGGAGTCTGTTGATTTTCACCCAGCCATAGGCAGTGGTGGTGCACGACTTATCGTAGTTTTCTATGGGGATGCAAGGCTGCATGCAAACCACCCTGTGAAACGGTGGTTCCCCATCGCGTTCATCAAGACATTCCACGGATCTGCATCTTTGCAAGCCGCGGTTTATTCCACGCGGGTTGACGAGGATTTTCGACTGCAATATCGAGTTTTTATTTGCTGCCAAAGATAAGCCAGGGACACTTGTGGCTTCCATCATCCTTATCTTCTCTTTTTCCAGAGCTTCCACCCTTTCTCTTGCCTTATCTATGGCTTCCATTTTGAAGTGACTAAAATGACAGGTTAAATAAAATAATGAAGGCTTCATACTATTTATTAATATATTTTACTTGATGAGGTAATTATTATTACATTTTCAGTGACAATGTATTCTACAGAACCAAGGCTGTTGTTTAGTATTTTCGTTATTATACACCCTAATATTATTTTTCCCCACTAAAAAAAACAATTAAAAAAAAGCTAAATTTTTGTTCAAAAACTTACGTAACCGCAAACGCACTATTTCAAAAGCATTCCTAACAGTTTCATCTTCCTCTAAAACGTAACATAAATATAGTGTTAATATTTCTACATACCTAAGTAAAATTACCTTCTTCAAAAATTGTCTCTAATTCTTGTGCAAGCCTAACTTTTTGAAGTGTTTTGGCAACTAAAAAATATACAATTTTATACATATTAAAATGTGGTGGAAATATACTCACAATTCTTTATTTGTCTTGTACAACTTTCATTTTCTAAAATAAAAAACATAAAATTTCTATTAACATTTTTAAGTTAATATTACCATTTACTATAATAACCGGTGTGTTTCGTGCGTTTTTATCAATGTTAATCCTATTAATAAGCTCATCCAGTGCCATCTGTTTACAACTACCTATAACAACATCTTGTACATTCTATCAGGTAATATTATCGCTTACTTACCATTAGGAAGAGTTACTTGATAATAAATAATGCGATCTTAAAAAAATATGTATTAAATCTGGTTTAAAGGAAGAATTGGTTACTTACCTGAACAACCTATATTTGTTATGCCATTATCTAAGACACCACTACCATAAGTATTGTCAGTCTTCTTTTGGGGGTTTATTAGCATAACGTCTTCATTTACTTTGAAAATTGTTGGGGTTATTTGAACTAACTCTTCCTCAGCCACGTCTGAGTAAAGATATTCTTTTTTGGCTATATCATGACATGGAACATTCTCTTTCTTCATTTGGTCATTTAATGAATGTTCATATATCTTGTCTTCATCATATGCGCTTGGTAAGCTACTGATTGGTTTTGCATATGGATACAAAGCTTCGAGGTATAGTTTCTCCAACTCGTATTCATCCATGTAAGATCCTAGAGATTCAGTAATGTCCTTAACCATCGCAGGCGCTTCTTGGTAATTTTTCTGTAAAAGTCCCTCGTCTGCTGCTATATCATCTTCTAAGGCACGAGTATAATCGATTATGTCATTAAATTTAGCCTCACTTTCCAATGAATGTTCATATATCTCATCTTCATCATATGCGTTTGGTAAGCTACTAATTATTTTTACATAGGGATGTAAAGATTCGTGGTATACTTTCTCCAACTCATTTTCATCCATATAGTATCCTAGAGATTCAGTGATGTCCTTAACCATTGAATGCGCTTCTTGGTAATTTTCTTGTAAAAGTCCCTCGTCTGCTGCTATATCATCTTCTAAGGCACGAGTATAATCGATTATGTCATTAAATTTAGCCTCACTTTCCAATGAATGTTCATATATCTCATCTTCATCATATGCATTTGGTAAGCTACTAATTATTTTTACATAGGGATGCAAAGATTCGGGGTATACTTTTTCCAGTTCATTTTCGTCCATGTAGGATCCTAAAGATTTAGTAATTTCCTTAACCATTGAATGCGCTTCTTGGTAATTTTCTTGTAAAAGTCCTTCGTCTGCTGCTATATCATCTTCTAAGGCACGAGTATAATCGATTATGTCAATAAGTTTAACCTCACTTTCCATTTGGTCATTCAATGAGTGTTCATATATCTCATCTTCATCATATGCGTTTGGTAAGCTACTAATTATTTTTACATAGGGATGCAAAGATTCGTGGTATACTTTCTCCAACTCATTTTTATCCATGTAGGATCCTAGAGATTCAGTAAAGTCCTTAACCATTGAATGCGCTTCTTGGTAATTTTCTTGTAAAAGTCCCTCGTCTGCTGCTATCTTATCTTCTAAGGCACGAGTATAATCGATTATGTCATTAAATTTAGCCTCACTTTCCATTTGATCATTCAATGAATGTTCATATATCTCATCTTCATCATATGCGTTTGGTAAGCTACTAATTATTTTTACATAGGGATGCAAAGATTCGGGGTATAGTTTCTCCAACTCATTTTCATCCATGTAGGATCCTAGAGATTCAGTAATGTCCTTAACCATTGAATGCGCTTCTTGGTAATTTTCTTGTAAAAGTCCCTCGTCTGCTGCTATATTATCTTCTAAGGCACGAGTATAATCGATTATGTCATTAAATTTAGCCTCACTTTCCATTTGGTCATTCAATGAGTGTTCATATATCTCATCTTCATCATATGCGTTTGGTAAGCTACTAATTATTTTTACATAGGGATGTAAAGATTCGTGGTATACTTTCTCCAACTCATTTTCATCCATGTAGGATCCTAGAGATTCAGTAAAGTCCTTAACCATTGAATGCGCTTCTTGGTAATTTTCCCGTAAAAGTCCCTCGTCTGCTGCTATATCATCTTCTAAGGCACGAGTATGATCAATTATGTCATTAAATTTAGCCTCACTTTCCATTTGATCATTCAATGAATGTTCATATATCTCATCTTCATCATATGCGTTTGGTAAGCTACTAATTATTTTTACATAGGGATGCAAAGATTCGGGGTATAGTTTCTCCAACTCATTTTCATCCATGTAGGATCCTAGAGATTCAGTAATGTCCTTAACCATTGAATGCGCTTCTTGGTAATTTTCTTGTAAAAGTCCCTCGTCTGCTGCTATATTATCTTCTAAGGCACGAGTATAATCGATTATGTCATTAAATTTAGCCTCACTTTCCATTTGGCCATTTAATGAATTTTCATATATCTCATCTTCATCATATGCGTTTGGTAAGCTACTAATTATTTTTACATAGGGATGTAAAGATTCGTGGTATACTTTCTCCAACTCATTTTCATCCATGTAGGATCCTAGAGATTCAGTAAAGTTCTTAACCATTGAATGCGCTTCTTGGTAATTTTCCCGTAAAAGTCCCTCGTCTGCTGCTATATCATCTTCTAAGGCACGAGTATGATCAATTATGTCATTAAATTTAGCCTCACTTTCCATTTGGTCATTCAATGAATGTTCATATATCTCATCTTCATCATATGCGTTTGGTAAGCTACTAATTATTTTTACATAGGGATGTAAAGATTCGTGGTATACTTTCTCCAACTCATTTTCATCCATGTAGGATCCTAGAGATTCAGTAAAGTCCTTAACCATTGAATGCGCTTCTTGGTAATTTTCCTGTAAAAGTCCCTCGTCTGCTGCTATTTCATCTTCTAAGGCACGAGTATAATCGATTATGTCATTAAGTTTAGCCTCACTTTCCATTTGGTCATTTAATGAATGTTCATATATCTCATCTTCATCATATGCGTTTGGTAAGCCACTAATTATTTTTACATAGGGATGTAAAGATTCGTGGTATACTTTCTCCAACTCATTTTCATCCATATATGATCCTAGAGATTTAGTAATGTCTTTAACTATTGAATGCGCTTCTTGGTAATTTTCTTGTAAAAGACCCTCGTCTGAGGCTATATCATCTCCTAAGGCACGAGTATAATCGATTATGTCATTAAGTTTAGCCTCACTTTCTATTTGGTCTTTTAATGAATGTTCATATATCTCATCTTCATCATATGCGTTTGGTAAGCCACTAATTATTTTTACATAGGGATGTAAAGATTCGTGGTATACTTTCTCCAACTCATTTTCATCCATATAGGATCCTAGAGATTTAGTAATGTCCTTAACCATTGAATGCGCTTCTTGGTAATTTTCTTGTAAAAGTCCCTCTTCTTCTGCTACATCATCTTCTAAGGCACGAGTATAATCGATTATGTCATTAAGTTTAGCCTCACTTTCCATTTGGCCATTTAATGAATTTTCATATATCTCATCTTCATCATATGCGTTTGGTAAGCCACTAATTATTTTTACATAGGGATGTAAAGATTCGTGGTATACTTTCTCCAACTCATTTTCATCCATATAGGATCCTATAGATTTAGTAATGTCCTTAACCATTGAATGCGCTTCTTGGTAATTTTCTTGTAAAAGTCCCTCGTCTGCTGCTATATCATCTTCTAAGGCACGAGTATAATCGATTATGTCATTAAGTTTAGCCTTACTTTCCAGTTGGTCATTCAATGAATGTTCATATGCGTTTGGTAAGTTACTAATTATTTTTACATAGGGATGTAAAGATTCGTGGTATACTTTCTCCAACTCATTTTCATCCATATAGGATCCTATAGATTTAGTAATGTCCTTAACCATTGAATGCGTTTCTTGGTAATTTTCTTGTAAAAGTCCCTCGTCTGCTGCTATATCATCTTCTAAGGCACGAGTATAATCGATTATGTCATTAAGTTTAGCCTCACTTTCCAGTTGGTCATTCAATGAATGTTCATATGCGTTTGGTAAGTTACTAAATATTTTTACATTGGGATGCAAAGATTCGGGGTATAGTTTCTCCAACTCATTTTCATCCATGTGGGATCCTAGAGATTTAGTAATGTCCTTAACCATTGAATGCGCTTGTTGGTAATTTTCTTGTAAAAGTCCCTCGTCTGCTGCTATATCATCTTCTAAGGCACGAGTATAATCGATTATGTCATTAAGTTTAGCCTCACTTTCCATTTGGTCATTCAATGAATGTTCATATATCTCATCTTCATCATATGCGTTTGGAAAGCTACTAATTGGTTTTACATATGGATATAAAGCTTCGAGGTATTGTTTTTCAAACTTCTTTTCATCCATGTAGGATCCTAGAGATTCAGTAATGTCCTTAACCATTGAATGCGCTTCTGGGTAATTTGCTTGTAAAATTCCTTCGTCTTCTTCTATATCATATTCTAAGGCACGAGTGTCATCAATAATGTCATTAAGTGGAACACCCTCACTTTCCATTTTAACATTTAATAAATGTTCATATATGTCATCTTCATCATATGGGTTTGGTAAGCTACTGATTGGTTTTACATATGGATACAAAGCTTCGAGGTATTGTTTTTCAAACTCCTTTACACCCATGTAGGATCCTCTAGATTCAGTAATGTCCTTAAACATTTCAGGCACTTCTGGGTAATTTGCTTGTAAAAGTCCCTCATCTTCTGCTATATCATATTCTAAGGCAGTGTCATCAATTATATCAAGTTCAGCCTTACTTTCCATTTGGTCATTTAATGAATATTCATAAATCTTGTCTTCTTCATATGCGTTTGGTAGACTACTAATTGGTTTTATATATGGATAAAAAGCTTGTAAAACTATCTCTTCCTCTATAAATTTTAAACGTTAAATATGACAAAATATTGGTTAATAAAATAACTTGCCTGGAGAAGGTTCTGGGTAATTTACTTGTACATTTGTATCTTCTTTAACTATATTAATCTTAAAGACATCGATATTGTTAACGTCACTATATAATACATCCTCCATCTTTGGTTGTAATGCCTGTTCGTATGTCTCGTAATCTTCATCATATTTGCTTGGTACCAACAACGTTTTCTTAGGAGATTCTGGGTTATCTTTTCGTAAATCTTCGTCTTCTTTTACTATATCAATCTCCAAGATATCGACATCGTTAACGTCACTATATGGAGCAGAGTTTGGTAATGATTCAACTAAACATGTATTGTATTAAAAATAAGTTTTTAACATATTTTAAAATTAACTAACCTTCTTCTTCTACAATAACCATCTTAGCAGTTTGTATGAATGGTTCTATAATTTCAACATATTAAAGAAGACAAAACGTAATATAATAACTTGCCTGAAGTTGTTTCATCATCGATTTCATTTGGATCATCGTTACTTTTCATTTCGGACTCGTCTTTATTAGTGTTTGGGCTGTAATATAATAACTCGCCTGAAGTGGTTTCCCTTTCTTCAGCCATATCATCTTCTAAAGCACGAGTCTCATCAAGGATTTTATTATTTGAATCATCCCTATTTGCCATTTGGGACTCGTCAATATTTGTGTTTTTGCTGTAATATAATAACTCGCCTGGAGTGGTTGCCGCTTCTTCAGCTATAATATATTCTAGAGCAAGATTCTTATCATTGATTTCATTATTTAGATCATCCTTACCTTCCATTTGCGACTCGTCATTATTAGTGTTTGGGCTGTAATACAATAACTCGCTTGAAGTTGCTGCTTCTTCAGACAAATCATCTTCTAAAGCAAGAGTCTCATCATTGATTTTGTTATTTGAATCATCCTTATTTGTCATTTCTGACCCGTCTTTATTTGGAGCTTCTTCAGCTATAACATATTCTAGAGCAGCGATTTCTTTATTTAGATCATCCTTACTTTCCATTTGGGACTCGTCATTGGTCGTGTTTTTGCTGTAATAAAATAACTCGCTTGAAGTGGTTTCCCTTTCTTCAGACAAATCATCTTCTAAAGCGCGAGTCTCATCATGGATTTTGTTATTTGAATCATCCTTATTTTTCATTTGGGACTCGTCATTATTCGTGTTTTTGCTGTAATATAATAACTGGCTTGCCGCTTCTTCAGCCAAATCATCTTCTAAAGAACGAGTCTCATCATTGATTTTGTTATTTGAATCATCCTCATTTGTCATTTCGGACTCGTCTTTATTTGTGTTTTTGCTGTAATATAATAACTCGCCAGAAGTGATTCCTACTCTTTCAGCTTCATCTTTATCTTCTAAAGCGCGAGTCTCATCATCGATTTTATTATTTTCATCATCCTTAATTTCGATTTTGGACTCCGTATCATTTGTGTTTTTGCTGTTATATAATAATTCTTCTGAAGTAGTTGCCTCTTCTTTAGCTATATCATCTTTTGTATTTGGGTATTGTGTGAATATTTCGGAAAATAATTGATTCAATTCTGGTTCAGTTATTTCAAGTTTTTTAAGCATTTTTCGATATCCATCTTTTTCTATAACTTTAATATATAGTTTTTAATAATGTTTTATAGTTTTTATTAAAATACTTGTGGTCGAATTAGTTAATTTTTCATCTAAACATGTATTATATTCAACGTAATTTTGAAACATAATTAACTCACCCAATTCATCTTTAGTTCCTTCTTCTGAATCATCCTTAGAATCTTCTTCAGAATCATCTTTAGTATCTTCTTCAGAATCATCTTTAGTATCTTCTTCAGAATCATCTTTGGTATTTTCTTTAGAATCACCTTTAGTATCTTCTTCAGAATTATCTATAGTATCTTCTTTATTGGTTTCGTTTTCTGTAGTTATTAAATTTTTAGACATTATTTTAACAACCCGGGCTATGTCAACAATATTAAAAAAAAATAAGGCAAAAATTGTGTTGTAACATCAAAAACTTACTTGAAGTCTCGGCTGAGTTTAATGGAACTGAAAATAATATTTGAAGTCGTTTAATTTGGCAATTTAATTTTAATTTAATTACCAGTGCATACAGTTATGTTTTAAATAAAATAAAATAACTTACCCTCAATGGTAATTTCTTCTGCTGAAATTTCAACAAATTAAATGTTCGCTCTAAAAGTTTTACTTCTTTGGCGTAAATAAAAAAGATGTTAAATGCAATTAAAAAGGTTTGCATGGAAATTTTGAATATTACATATCTAAACACTTACCTACTTTTTCGATATTATCCATTTTTATTTCCAATATCATTTCTATTTCTGTAAAAGGTAAGTTTACAATGAAAACCTTGGGTAGATAGTTTTTTAAATGTACATACCGTCAACGTGGTATTTTAATCCATTAATAATTTCATCGGATGTCAGTGTTAATAAGTTTTCTAAAACGATAAACGGTAAGTTTACTTTTTATTTTCCATTTAATAAATCTTACCTGGTGTAAAGAATCTAAATAGCTTAACATCAAACTGTGGATAAGTCGCGTAAAATCCTGTAAGTAAAGCAATATGTTTTACCAATAAAGGATAACAGGTAATAACTTACCTTCTACTATCAATAACAAGTGCTCCAGTACTTCAACTAAAGGAAATTGTTTTTTGACTAAAATAATATTACTTTTAAATTTGTCCATACGATTATCTTTTTACTTACCGTTTATCCTAACTGACACTGGTTTATCAAAACCAATACCACCTGGGATATCATGGATATGTTCTAAAAATATAATAATGGTAACTTTATATTATTATTTTTTTTTATCAATAATACCATATATAAATCTATATAAATGATTTAAACCCCTGGCCTCTTCGTATTCACCTATAAAAATAATTTATTAAGCAAATATATTTTAAAATTAAATCCCTTACCGTCAATCTCAATTTCAAATCGTCCATCTTCCGTAAACGCCTCTAAATAAATAAGGAAGTGGTAAGTTGGACTACAAAAAATAATATTACTCACCAATAAAGATAGCCTGAGTCCTAGTATTAATTTCTATCACATTTAAACCTTGAAGTTCCTCTAAAATTATTTATTTTTTATTGTTATTAATATTTTTATTAACTTTAATTAACTTACCGTTTATAAATATATTAAATATAGTCAAATCCATGTTGGTGTTACGGTATTTCTCTTAAAAAAAAACTTATACAAACTTACCTTTAACTTCTTTAACCTTACCTATTAATTTTGTATAGAATATTTTATGAAGCCTTCTTAAAGGTATGTCTATTACTTTACCGCTTACCCGTATAGACACAGTTATCTCCAAGTCCAATGCCAAATTTCTATGGGTTACTAAAAGTTGATCAATAAAATATAAGTTGTGATTATTTTTTATTATTCACCTAATAAGTACAGCCGAATAAGTCTGCTCAAATTTATTTTAGATAATCTCCACATTTTTCCTGGAAATAAGTTGATAAAAAATAAACGGTAAGTTGGCAAAATAAAAGGTAAGTTGATAAAATAAACGGTAAGTTGGTAAAATAAACGGTAAGTTGGTAAAATAAACGGTAAGTTGGTAAAATAAACGGTAAGTTGGTAAAATAAACGGTGAGTTGGTAAAAATAAAAGGTGTTGGCAAAGTAGGGGAATCGGTAAATGGATAGTCAGAAAATAAACGGTAAGCTTGCCATCAATTTCGATGCTGATGTCGTGACCGTCTTCTAAAATTTCGTCCCAAGTAAGTATAATAAATACGATTTTAATGACCTCATTTTCATTGAGGCCCTGAAGCGATCCGTCTGTCAAAAATGACATTTCTTGTGCTGGTATATTTGGATGTGTTTTCTTGATTATAATTACGAAATCTTCCAGGATTGTTGTGAGAGACAATGCGATTGGTTTGCCATCTTTTACTAATTGCACTATACTTTTTAAGTCCAGCCCGTTAGTTTTACGAGATTGTGCTAGAAATTTAAAGAATTAGTAAAAACTACAAAAAAGCAGTTTATCTAACCCAATAATAAGCGGTAAATAGTAACGATGTCAATTTCGTATATATTTCGGTTTAATATAAACTTTATGTCTCCTGTGCATAAAACACAGGCTTCTACAAAAAAATATTATTACATACGGTAGTTATACTTCTAGCATTAAAATATTACCCAGTTGTGGTTTGAGGAATCTAGCCGTTGGGTATAGTTTGTTTCTTATAGCACCATCTTCGGCTAAAAGAATAAACGGTAAGGTCTATTGTTTTGATAAAAGGTAAGTTTTCAGTAAAAGGTAAGTTTTTTTTAGTAAAAACATGTTTTTTAATAAAAGGTAAGTTTTTTAGGTTTTTATACCATATACGTCCTGTCCCATGCCATAATTAGGGATATCATTAATATCGTATGATGTTGGTTGATCTGGTATTGGCTCGTTTGTATTTTCTTTAAAAATAAGTGTAAATTAATAATTTATAACATTATTTTAGCTATTGTTTACCGTAGTATAAAAACTGATCTAAAAAATAAAACAAATTTTTTAAAGTTAACTACTTTTATTTATTTTTCTTACCTATTTTGGGGGGCAAAGCCAAACTTCCTGTAAAAAATAATATTACACCTAACATAAACGTTCGATGCATTTTTAAAAAGCAACGAATAAAATGTCGCAATAAAAAAATTTCCCTTTATATATTTACTTAAAATATATGTTTATGTTTTCTTAGTTCGTTTATTTGTTAAATTGACCAAATTTTTTACGATTTTTTGTATTGTTTTATTATAAATGGGACAGATATATCAGCTTTTTAACACCCACATCTGATGTGTTAAAGATAAAGGGTCTGATAAAATGGCAATATCTATTTACATGAAATATGTTTATTATATTTAAGTATATTGGATTTTAATAAAATTAAAAAGTGTTTATAGAATAAATAAACTTTCTCAAAATATTTTATTTCAAGGTCAACGTTTAGTATTGTTTTTTGTTATTCTACAAATAGCATTTCTTTATTAGCATATAATTTAAAACAATTCACTACTAGACGTAGGTTACTTCTCGATATAACACTACTTTTTTCATAAAATATTTACCCCAAAAACACAATTTTCTTACATTTTACCCCTCGAATGTTTACAATTATATTTTGAACGTATCAACAGAGAAAGGAGGGTGGAGGGTTGGTAAAGAGAGGGAGAGGGGGGTGCGCGCAATACCAAGCAACCAGCGCTGCTTCAGTGTGAAGCTGACTCTCGGAAAATCCGCGTCGAGTTTTCCGGGAAAACTACGCGTGAAGCACGCCGCGGCAAACGGTGAGAAAATCAACCCGAACATGTGAATCATCGGTTTTATAAGGGTGATTTTTAGTAAGTATTTTGTTGTTGTTAAAAGTTACGATGTTTTTCGCGGGTGAAGTCGGTTGTAATAATTTTATACAGTGATAGAATAACTTCGGAATTTATTGTCAAACTTTCCTTAACTTTAGTTATAAGGGTTATAATAAACATGGAAACTTTGCATATGCTCGAATGAACTTTTATTGTCATTTCTAATTGAACTACCAATCATAATTTTTAACATAAGTTTTATATGAAGTTTTAACACGAAATCGGTATTTAGGTTGCCTATACACGAGGCTTGTTGTAAGCTCAGCTAATTTTCAATTAATTTAGACCGCAGTTTACGTGTTTATAATGTGAATTATGGGCTTGAGCTTGTAGCGACTTGTTCAGAGACACAAAAAGGGTTTTAATGTTTCGCTGACAAAATGCACTTTTTGTTGCGAGTTTTAAAAATAGGTAACAATGAATGTAAATTAAATGAAAAATTTGAAATTGGATTTTTTACAAATTATCAAAATGTTTTTAATTATCCATGTAAATGTTTGCTATTTAATTAAATATTGTCTACATTTATTGGTACTTAATTTTTTTTAAATTATATAAAAAATTATATTATTGAATTGAACTCTACATTTTTTATTATAAAATCTGGAGATCTTGCTAAAGCCATCTTGTTGAAAGTACAAATGTCCTTCATCAAGCAACATGTTTGTTAGTCCCTCTGATTTTCTTATGACTGGGTAATAAGTGGGTCTATAAAATTTTCAAGAAGATCTACAGGGTGAGTTTTTCAAAGTGTTACAAGGCAATATCTTGAAAACGGTTCAATATTTTTTTGTGAAATTTTAATGAAGTAATGGGGGGACATATTTATACATATTATAAAAAAACTTTCACAATAATTACAACTTAAAATTATAAAAAAAATTATTAAACTAAAATCCGAAACTGCAAAGAGATACATAGTACTAGTATTGTTGATACTGCAAGTACTATGAGTACAACTCTCACTGAAATTGACGATACTGACTTGGAAATGCCAAGTACAAGTGACTTATCGTATTTAATAGTACTAGGTACTTCTGAAAACTTTTCTGTACACGACACTGAAATACCAGAAGAATTTGTCGTTGATTCTGATTATAGTGATTTTGAATAGTAGGTAATGTGGGTTAGGTACCTACATTGACATGTAAGATTTAGATGCTGCCTATTTTTTTTCTTATTAATAAAAACTATTTTTTCTACTCCCACCTTTAAAACGGCCTTTATCGTACATGTTTCCATGACACTAAGTGACCTTTTAAATACACATTGACAAGTTGTGGCTTTACGGCGCTTTAGTCACGGGCTGAAGTTAGCAACAGGTTTTTAGTCACGGGCTGAAGTTAGTTTTAAGTTAGTTGACAGTTGTCAAATGTCATACAATCGTTAAAATAAAGTGCCTTTCTTGTAAAATAATACTAAATGTGAAAATTATTTTATTATCTCAATACAAAAATACAAAAATATTAAATAGTTTCTCAACGCCAATATTTGAAAAGTTTATATAAACATTGTACTGACCTTTTAATTTCGCCGGCAGTAAATTATAACTTAAATTCGGGCACGGACTCTACTGTAAAGTCCTCATAAAACATTTCCTTTACTTTCACTGTGAAAAACTGTCAATTTTCAAGAAATACATTTCGATTTATAACCTTTATAATTGTGTTTATAAAATGTAAAAATGTGACATTTGACAGTTTCCCCTGTTGTTTCATAGATGGCGCTCTTGATTTAAATCATTTTAAGATAATAATAAGTATTTGTCGTAGAAAAAGTATAATATGCACCTCGTTTATAAACTTTTCTATACACTCATTAATTAAATTCGTGTATAAAATGACGTTTATCAAACTTGATACATAATATACTTTTTGTTTTAATTTTCAGACACTCATGTATTTTTATTTTAGAAGCAAGTTTTTATTTTGTGTTTTTATTTAAAACCTCTATTATTAATAACGATTATTTGTCTCTTTTTTCTTATAATCTCTATTAAGGAAAAATAATGTTTCTGAAAAAAAAACAAAATTAAAAAAAAAATCCTTTAGTTTATAAAAAACATGCTTTTAAAAAGAAAAAAAAAAGTATTTTTCCTGTTTACATCACTAATTTTAACTTTAAACGTTAAAAATTCGCACAGGAATTTCAATAAATCTGTCACTTTTTGTACCTTCAACATTTCCCATGTAGGTAAGAATTTTTAATACTTTGTGATAATATTTTGCAATTATTGTAATAAAAAAAATCAAAGGATAAAATATTTTTTTAAAGTATCAATAATTGTTATTATTTTTCTAGACGCTCATTTAATTAAGCACTCGCTTAAAAGGAAACTTTTTTTCGATATTGGCGAAACATTTTTATTGTTTTCAGGAGTAATGGCGGCGCACGAATCGTCGGGTACTTCAATAGAACAAAACAAAAAGTTCATACTGGACTTAAACGAGAACATGCTTTGTGTGAAAAAAACCGAAGCTCTGCGCACACTTAGCGTGAAACATCTAGAAGACCAGAATAGTAATATCAAAAAGAGGTCATCGTTTCATCAGAACGTAGACGAGGCGCTGAGCTCTTTGTTATGGCAGCCGTACGAGTACCAAAATCGTAGGGACTCGTTAACGAAATCGTCGTCGAATTGTAGCGTTTGCAGCAGCAGCAGTTCATCCCTCGACCTTGAAGAGAGCCCTTCCGACTGCACGGACCTATTTCGTTTGGTTAATAACCTGTCCGACTCGACGGACCAATCGCGCGCCGCCGCACGGTCACGTGACCCGCAGAGCCTGCATTCAACACACTTAACTCAGCCAACTGCGCTCAGTCGAAGTTTAAGCGCGCGCCACGGCTATGTCGACGCGATGCAACTGCTACAAGTGCAGCAGAGTGCTCCAAATACAGTTCTAAGCATAAACAGTACCCCTAGTGATAATAATGGGTTGAGAGGTACCGTACACACCCCGTTAAGTTCGGCTAACGTGATCGGGATACCGAGAACAGTGTACACTAGAAATGAGTCTTCGAACCAGTTCAGATTGCCAATTTCTATTGCCGCTGGTACTGCCAGTACTACCGCGGTACGACATACATCTCAAATAGAGCACTTTCGAAGCGCGTCGGTTCCGAAATCGATGCCTCAAAATCAACATAAAGACTCGAACTTTGTGTGCACAGTACCGAGTACCGCACAACCCAATAACAATGGTTTGCTGCCCAATCACGCCAGGATGCATTCGGAACCTAGCCTCAAGAATAAACCAACACACAATATTAGCAATGTTAACGTGAACTTTTATCGGGCAGTACCCGTAAATGTGGTCTCATCAGTTCCAACGATACAGTGCATCAACTCGACAGGTTCCAACGTCTCCAATGTGCAGATTATGCCGCAAAGTGTCGTCACCGGTACCACCCAAGTTACAGTGCACAGTACACCCAATCATTCGCTAAATATTCCCACAAACTACCCTAGGAGTACTACCAACCAAGTCGTCATCCAAAACAGAAGTATTACTACAGTACCACCAGCAAAAACATGCACCACAAACTCTAGCACTCAAATATCCAACAGGGTGTCTAGCAGTACCTCCTCGACCGATCAAGTCGCAGTACCGGTACCCAACACGCAGATTACAAGAACCAGAACCTTTACGAGTACCGAAGCCCAAACCGACGATATCTCGGTGTGCCCTGCAGACTCTGGCAATCCAACCAGAGAGCAGCGTCGCAGAGAACGCAGAGAGCGCCGCAACCAACGCCGAACCCACACCGGGAACCATCGGCACGCCGCCGAAAATGGCGCCCTGCAAAACGACCGCCTCCCCGACATCCTCAACAGCCATTTGCCGCCCCCTTATTCCACCCTTCCCAGTGCTCAACACCCCCAAGTGCACGCCGCCTTAGTGCCGAACCCTGTGATGATGCCCAACCCGGTGATGGTACCCAATCCCGCGATGATGGTGCCGACGCAGCACGTTTTGCAAACTGTGGTTCCTAATAATGTTGTGCCAAACGGATACGCGTTTACGCAGCAAGTGGTACCCGGCCAGGTGCCCCTAGTGCAAGGCGGTACCCCGGTGGCGGTGAGCGTGCAACCGCCCACCGGATTTAGGTTCCCGTTCCCCAACGGAGGATTCAGACGGTAAGATGTTTGTGTATTTAAGTGGTACCATTTGACATGTGGTACCATTATAGTTATGACAGTCTGTAACTTTTAATAGGGTTTTACGATTTTTATGAAATTTATAAGATTTACCACACTACTTTGCTCAATTTTTTTGTTTTAAAGATAATCAAGTTTTTGACATATTGGCGCCCAACGTTTGATAAAAATGATTGGTCCAATTTTAATAAAACTTAAAAAATTAAGATACATTAAAGAAAAACTCGATAGGAAATATAAGAATGGTACCATTTGTCATGAGGTATCATTATCGTTACTGCAGACGGTATCTTTTGATAGGGTGGTCCGATTTTCATGAAATTTACAAGATTTACTAAGAAAATTACGCTCTTTTTAATGGTGCTCTCAATTTTTTAATAATATTATTGGTTTTAAAGATAATCAAGTTTTTGACATATAGGCGCCCAACTTTTGATAACAATGTTTATATTTTGGTTGATTTTTGTCCAATTTTGATCAAACTTACAGAGAAAGATAATTAACATATGCTCTTTAAGATATACTATACAACAACATGATAGCAAATATAATAATTGTACCATTTGTCATGTGGTACCATCATTGTTACTGCAAACGGTAACTTTTGATAGGGTGGTACGTTTTTCATAAAATTTACAAGATTTACTTGAAAAATTACGTTCTTTTTAATGGTCCTCTCAATTTTTTAATATCATTATTGGTTTTAAAGATAAGTTTTTGACATATTGGCGCCCAACTTTTGATAACAATGGTTATATTTTGGTTGATTTTTGTCCGATTTTGATAAAACTTACAGAAAAAGATTATTAACATGATACATTATACAACAACTTGATAGGAAATATAATAATGGTACCATTTCTCATGTGCTACCATCATCCTAACTTTTGATAGGGTGGTACGATTTTCATGAAATGTACAAAATTTTTAATGGTGCTCTTAATTTTTTTCTAACATGGTTGGTTTTAAAGATAATGAAGTTTTTGACATATTGGCGCCCAACATTTGATAACAATGGTTAAATCTTGGTTAATATTTGTCCAATTTTCATAAAAATTACAGAAAAAGATAATTAACATCTGCTCTTTAAGATACTTTACACAAAAACTTGATAGAAAATATAATATTGGTACCATTTGTCATGTGGTACCATCATCGTAACATTTGATATGGTTGTACGATTTTCATGAAATTTACAAGATTTACTAAAAAATGTACGCTCTTTTTAATGGTGTTCCTAATTTTTTTTTAACATGGTTGGTTTTAAAGATAACCAAGTTTGACATAATGGCGCCCAACGTTTGATAACAATGGTTATATCTTGGTTAATTTCCAACCGATTTTGATAAAATTTACAGTTGAACATAATGAAGATGTGCTCTTTAAGTTACATTATACAAAAACTTGATAAGTTAATTACTTTAAAAGCAGTTGGGGGCCAATCTGTTTCTTAAACCAAAAAAACTGTATTTATCTTCTAGAACGATTATTCCTCGGTTCCACAAAGACACAATAAGACTTTTATACGTAATTTCTTTACAATTCAACCCTCGATACCTTTTATATCTGTGGAACGTATCGGGCCTTTCTTTACAAAAGTGGTCACTACCTGGGCCCAAACCTCTATGATAAAATTCCAAGGTCGAAGTGCTACGTCACAAAAGCATGCAGTAGACTTTTGTATGTACGAGGTTTGTCGAAATGTAAGAATTAGTATTCTGTAAGTGTTTTGTTTTTATGTAATTACTTACCTTATTTATTTTACATTTGTTGTGTTGTTATCGATAATTTACAGTTAATTAGTTTGAGAATGATAAAGTATTCATGTTTTATGAATGAGGAAAGATAAGGTCGGGTTTATTCACTTTGATTATAAAAATAAATAAATATTATTACAATGTGTACGTTAACTTTAAAACAACGAATTAATTAAAAATTGGGTTTGTTCTGGCCTACTAGAAATACTTTCTCCTGCCTTCAGATAATTTTTTTAATTTACAAAATTATAGACGCTTTCTCGATATTAAGTGAAAATAAAATAAATAATTAATGACTTTCCTTTCGATAAAAACAAACAAATCCACCAAAAACAACCGGTTTCATTTGACCGAAAATGACCACAAAAATGCATATTGATTGTTGTTATGTGAATTATTGGCGAGTTTGTTCGTTTCTATGGCAAGAAATCGTAGGAGTCGAGCCTTGGTAACCGCTCAGAGCATCATTTACCTTTCTAATCCAAACCAGTTACTGGCAGTCGGGGAGAGAGCGCTACAACTTTTCTGTTGTTCATAATATAACAGAATGAATTGTTGAGATGAATTTTGCGTAAAATGGTATTAATATTTTTGCTCTAACTTTATCGGTTAAAAAGTTAATTGGCAGTGTATACTATATACAGTGTGACACATTTGTTTGCAACCCCTGTAAAAATTTTATACAGTGTATAAAATCTGTATACACTGTTACACTGTATACAATGTACAGTAACGATTTAAAAAAATCGTTGTAACTTTGTTAATCTTTAAGCAATTACAATGAATTTTTATGGCATACTTAACAAAATACGATCTTTTTTATGGCAATAACAGATTTCTAAACTATTTACGATTTTTAATTTATGAAGCAGGCTTCTTTGTCGCCACGTAATTGAGGTCATACGACTTTGAAATAGATTGTTAAGTCAAAATAAGCGTGTTTGTAACAATTTTTATAATATACTTACTTATACAAGGTGCACCAATTGGCCAAGTATTTTTTTCTCAAAATATTAAAAAAAACTAAAATCTTAAAAATATATAATTTCGTTATTTTTGTGAATTTTGAAAAAAGTAAGTTACAATTTCATCAAATTTCTATATTTACCATTATTTTTTCAAAATTAGAATCTTTTTGGTTTTCTAGTAAATCAACCTGAAAGTGAGTTACGATTTTCATATTTTGGTGTTCAACGTATTTTTGTAAAATCGTCATAACTTTGTTAAGCTTTAATCGATTTTGATGAAATTTTTAGGGTATACTAAATGAAATAAGATCTTTTTGGTGCAATTAACAGAATTTTAAAATTATTTACGATTGTCTAGTAAATCATGCTAAAAGTGAGTAACGATTTTCATATTTTGGTGTTCAGCGTATTTTTTTTTAATCGTCGTAACTTTGTTAACCTTAAACGATTTTAATGAAATTTTTAGGGTATACTAAATGAAATAAGATCTTTTTGTGCAATTAACGGATTTTTGAAATTATTTACAATGTTCTAGTAAATTATCCTGAAAGTGGGTAACGATTTTCATATTTTGGTGTTCAACGTATTTTTGTGAAATCGTCGTAAATTTGATTTTATATATATTATTTCGTTATTTTTGTGAATTTTGAAAAAAGTAAGATTCAATTTAATCAAATTTCTTTTGTTTTCAGTTTTTTCAAATTATTAGGATCTTTTTGGTTTTGTAGTAAATCAACCTGAAAGTAAGTTACGATTTTCATATTTTCGTGTTCAACGTATTTCTGTAAAATCGTCATAACTTTGTTAAGATTTTAATGAAATTTTTAGGGTATACTAAATAAAATAAGATATTTTTGGTGCAATTAACAGATTTTTAAAATTATTTACCATTTTCTAGTAAATCATACTAAACGTGAGTAACGATTTTCTTATTTTGGTTTTCAATATATTTCTGTAAAATCGTTAAACTTTAAACGATTTTAATGAAATTCTTGCAAGATGGGGTATACTAAATGAAACAAGATCTTTTTGGTGCAATTCACAGATTTTTAAAATTATTTACGATTTTCTAGTAAATCATACTGAAAGTGAGTAACGATTTTCATATTTTGGTGTTCAAAGTATTTCTGTAAAATCGTTATAACTTCTTTAAACTTTAAACAGATTTTTAACATTATTTAGGATTTTCTTGTAAATCATACTGAAAGTGAGTAACGTTATTCATATTTTAACTTTGCCATTGATAAATGTTTTTGAGTAAACTAAATGTAATTCGTTATTTTCTTTGTTCATTTTTATAAATTGACATTTCACGGTATAAATCACAATTTTCCATTTATATTTTAACTTTCTTTAAACATCCATTGTAAACGTAAATATAAGCTTTATCCCTTAAGATATTACCTGCCTTTTTAGACGTATGTTACTGATTGTTGGGTTGAAATAGCGTATTTTTAATAGTAGTCCCTGTAAAAGTGATTTTTATTAAAATTGTATGTTATATCAAACCATGTGTACTCTTTTTTGTGGCATGAATAGATTTTTAATAATATTTACGTAATATATACGAAAAAATAGTAACGATTTTCATATTTCGATTTATTTTTGTAAAATTTTGAGAAAACTAATTAAAATGAATTTTTGTTTTGTTCATTCTTATAAATCGACATTTTACGGTATTAATCCGAATTTTTGTTAAATCCGTACATATTTTAACTTATCCACAAAGCAGAGATAATTTCTTTACAAATCCAAAGCCCATCGATTCCCCAAAGATACGTTTCTACCTGCCTTTTGTGTTGGCTGGTTGGTGCATTTGACCCGTTTTACTCCCTACCCGAAAAAACTGTATACGAGCTCTCGTACAGTCTGTGAGAGGTCATAAACAACGGTACTTCTCTTTATAAACTATACTGTTTACAATTTAAGTGAATCAAAAGACTTCGGAGATAATTGTGGTAAAACAAGCATACAGGAAGTGTATTTTTAGATATTCGGTCTTCCCCCTTAGAGATTAAAATAACTTGTCTGCCTTCAGAGTCGAAAAAAGATCGAATAAACACAAAAATAAGGCTACAAAGTGTTCGTTAAGCACGTTTCTATTTTATTAGGTATTTTTTTCGCCACATGTTAGGGATTTGATTATGAAGCACTTGTCTAAACTTTTGTGTTATCTATAGACACAGAATCCCTCAATATCGATTTTTTCCATTCCTCTTGCAGTACATAATACATAAATTTAAGGGTAAATAAC